CTTCAGTGCTGTATTGTACGCCTTGTATTCAGATAATAGCAGATTCATTTTATTCTGGCATGCGCTAGGAGAAAATTTCTTCCCTCTGAGAACCATTTGAGCTGAGATTTTCCAATAAAATTGGTTGTCTTTGTGGGCTTTATAATATTCATCCTTCATGTCATCCCAGACATCAATCAGGGAATAGATAGTAGCCGTGTCCATAACTGCTCCTAAACAGAATATTTTGAAAATGTTAGATATAATTCAAATTTAAAGGGAGAAAATAAGTGAACTTATTAGTGGTTAAAAGGTTAGACTAATATACCTTTTGTGAATGTGACCTTAGCCAACACATCCTCCTCCAGGGAGGGTTCTGCCTGGAAAGTAGGGCACTTGTCAGAGTCACCTCGCAGAAAGGCCATGTGCTTCGTAAAAAGCCCAGGTGAATTCCTGCGGTACTTCTCATCAAGTCTTCTCTTCTTACGGGAGCATTCGTCTGGTGTGACATGGACATTGTGGCTTTCTTTCAGATTTTCAGACACCTTATTCATATTTTCCACAGTAGCCTTAAAAGGCCTTGATGTATTTAAATTGATGCATTCTTGCAAAAAAGCCAGAGTTGCTCTTTTGCTCTCTAATGATGCTTCTCTACATAGAGTGAGTGGTCACACAGTATCAGCATCCTAAAGAATTATGGAGACCAGAGGATATCTTAATTCAAGAAACAATCAAAAATTTGACAAGTCTAATAAAAAAAGGAGTCTTACTACCTCTTCAGTCTCTACAAAAGAGTAACTCTGGTTAAGAACAGGTCGGACCTTCTGCACAGAATAATTAGAATGTTGTGAAAATAAATAAATGTGAATCAAAAAATTTGTATTACAAAATGCTGATAACTTACCTTGGCAGACTTATCCAATGCATTTTGTTTCACATCCAGAACATGCTGAAAACGCAGCTTCTCTTTACCGTTATACAACTAATGAGACAGGCACTGCCTGCATATTCAAGTTCTTTAAACAGGACGATGCCTCCTAACGACAAAGTTCGATCTTTAGCGGCCCGGTTACACAAAGTTCGATCTTCAGCGGCCCGGTTACACAAAGTTCTATCTGCGGCGGCTCGGTTACACAAAGTTCGATCTACATTCCGGCGGTTTCTGCAGCGCAGCCTTAATATATTCATATCGTCGTCAATATTGCAGATAGAAGAAAGTAAAAACTGCTGCCTGTGAGTAAAAAATCAAAGAACAACATACTCCAAAGAAAAATTGAATGCTATCGCAGCAAGACTGTGGTAGAGGTCTAAACTTGCGACTCCCGCGAGCGGCGAAAAGCAGATCGAACTTTGTGTAACCGTGCAAATCGGACTTTGTGTAACCGTGCAACTGAAGATCGAACTTTGTCGTTAGGAGGCATTGAGGAACAAATCAAAATTTGGGGTGTCCAAAGATTCAGCGTGAAAGACTATACTGGGACCACGCTAGCAAAGAGCCTGGCTTATGGAAGCAGTTCTTAACTACTGCCTCCTCAGCTACCGCCGCAACTCATTGACCTGCTCGGGTCCCGCCCACCCTGTCGCATGGACCCTCGGAAGCAGGTAGGCGAGCCGGCGAGCCACCGCTGCAGCAACGCCAGGCTCTTTCCTAGCGTGGTCGCACTATACATACAGACCACAACACAATAGACGGTTCCGGCAGTGCCCGTTTAAAGAAGAATTAATGAAATCACCACCGGAAACAGTTCTAAAATACAGGCTAACATCAGTGAAAACTAAAATTGACAGTTAGTAGGGATTTAATAGAGGTTATTCACGTCGAACTGCAGTGTCAAATGACAAAAATCAGCGAACTTTAGCTACTGGTTCCGGTCCTGACTTCTTCATGTCTTCTCAAAAAGCGCACTGTCGGAACGGTCTATTCAACTCTACTTACCGTAACTTTGATGGTGCATTTATAACTGTTGTAATCTGTTGTCTCCTCAACAATAACACAGCTGTCTTCTAAAAACAGCAGTTTCGCCACTTCCTCAGTTATAGAAGCCACAAAAGGCTCCTGACAAGACATTGGAAGAAATATGTAAGTACTGAATATGTTGTTATAATTTACTACTAAGCTTAGTATGCTAGCTACTATGCTAGCATAACTGATGAACTTTAATGTATTAAGGTGGATACAGAGTTCCCAAAGCGCGAGCGTGATTTTCACGCTAGGCGTGACTTAAAAGTCGGTTCCTGATTGGCTGTGTGAAGCGAACGATGTAACACCAGTGGTTTCCGGGACGGAAGTGAAGAACCTTTTTTCCGGGAAGACGATGACAAGAGACATTATTTGCTCTCAGGAGACAATCGACTAACGACGATGCTGATTGGTCGGGAAGACAGCCGACGACTGGTTAAAGACAGATTGCATTTGTTAAATAATGTGTAAACAGAGTGTACATATCTTCTAACACTCCCTTTCAATCTGAGCATCTTATTTTAAGAGTTTTGCAGCATCTTTCATGACTCAGGTGCGAGGGTACCCCTACTCCACAACACTTGAAAAGCGTTGCCCGTGAAATTTTAGCGCAGTGTTTTCATACAATCTTTTCGGTATCATGGAGCAAAATCTAGGAAAATTAGTACCGAGTGAAAGGGGGGGCCGCATCCTCTCTTACTAAGGCTACCTCTTCAGCCACTAAAGCCGGGACCGAGACAGCCGCTTCCAAACAATAGTCGGAAAGAACCACCCGTCCCTGTAAAAGCTGATGGCTGAGTTCTAAAAGGAGGCTCGCGTAAAGGTGATGATGCAGGAGCTGGACGGGGGCCGAAAAATCCGGCAAGCTCAAAAAAGGAAATACGCAAGAATCAACGAGCGCCTTCATACTCTTACCGGATGGTACGAGGAGTTGAAGTTAACGGACCACATGCTGGAATATGTCCGTACCTGTGGAAATAATGTAGCCTTGTGAAAATAAAGATAAATTCAAAACAAATCTGGGTGAAGAGCTCCCGGGGTCAATCATACACATGGGTGAAATACGTGTGGGTGAATTGCGTCTGGGCCAAAGTTACGTTGGGTCAATCGCTCCTGGGTGAGTGGGCCTAGATCCGTCTTTTCCTGGCGCTTTTGTGAGCATATCAGCTGGCACAGGGGTATGGAACGCCAGCCGCGCGGCTGAGGCGATGCTCCGTAACGGGCGCTCGGCCCGGCCGCGCGCTGCGGAGGACGAATTTTGCTTGATCAATCACAATAACAATTTCTTTCCAAACGGAGCTGAGTGCGGCCCGGGCGTGACGAGTCGAGAGGCCGAGCCGGGACCCGAACGCCGAGCCGAGCGCGAGCTGAGCGGATCCGCCCGAAGCGAGGGGTCTCCGACTCGCATAATACTCAGTACACGTCGCCATAATACCCTTATAATACCCCATAATACTCATAATACCCATAATACCTCATAATACGACATAATACCCTTATAATACCCTGATAATACCCTTATAATACCCCATAGTACCCCATAATACCCCAGAATACATCATAATACATCAAAATACATCATACCTCATAATACTCCATTCTCCACAGTGCTTTGATAGAAAAATCCATCTAGATAAATACGAGGTAGATGTACGCCAGACCACGTCTCGCGTAACAGGCTTCGCGATATCTCACGAAACACTGTTACGCTGCGACGCGCCTGGCATACTCTATACCTAGGCCTGCGGCGCTGACACCCGAGTCGGGCAAAAGGCAGAGTCGTAGACAGGCCTTCGGTTCTAAAGGACACAACTTTTACCACCAGGATTTTATTTTGACGAGTTGCCCCACCAGAGACCATCAAATATCTGAGAAACAACATTAAAATGGTTTGAGGTCATTTTCGTGTGGAAATCGCCCTCTGGCGACCTAACGGTTAGAGATGGAGCCAAACGGACAAAATTTTGGCCCACAGGGCTCTACTTTGACGAGTTGCGTCTTAGATAGTTGTTAAAAAAATAAAAAATTAAAAGTAATATTTGGCGTTTTTTGTTTTTGATTTTTTTGACAGGCCAATTTTCAAGCTAGAGGGCTCAAAATCAATACAGTTCTTGTTTTTTATGATACAAAGCTACACTAAAAATTTCAGGTACCTAGCTCAAACCGTTCTCGAGTTATCGTGATTACAGACAAACACACAGACACAACTTTTTGATCATCACTGAAGAAATAGGCTTCGCTATCGCTCAGCCAATAAAAACAATGAAAAGACGTCCAATACATGTATACGTCTATTTTTTGTGTGGGAAGCCTATTTCGAAAAATTAATAATTTGTTCAAAAAGTCTTGGAAAGTAATTTTTCAATGTGTAATATGGGACATAATACATCCATAATACTTAATAATACCCATAAT